ACTCTTTACTTTTAGACGTATTAGCAAATTAGGACTGTTTAGGATTTTATTCACCGTACTGCAAGTTGTTTTCACTTTTTCACTTTGTATTTTAGTGAAATCCTAAAATCCGATTTCAGACGCAACGATGCTGTTTAAGACACAGTGCTGATCCATTTCTTCATTATATTTTATGTTAGATTAAATTATTTAATAAATTATGCATTGGCTATTATGGGGTCAATGTGATAAAATGTGCTTATACCATAGCAAACACGTGTTGGACATCCGTTCGTGAAGCAAGAACATCTTTATAGATCGTTATTGTCATGTAATCGTGTTCATTATGCGCTCTCTCTCTCTCTCTCTCTCTCTCTCTCTCTCTCTCTCTCTCTCTCTCTCTCTCTCTCTCTCTCTCTCTCTCTCTCTCTCTCTCTCTCTCTCTCTCTCTCTCTCTCTCTCTCTCTCTCTCTCTCTCTCTCTCTCTCTCTCTCTCTCTCTCTCTCTCTCTCTCTCTCTCTCTCTCTCTCTCTCTCATTTTGATTGACCTTTTACATAATATTTTTCTCCTTTTCATCTATTTTCTCATTCATGAGAAAGAGGCAGACAAATTTTTGTCTTTAAGCGTCGTCGCAATTATTGTCTTAATTTATTATTAATTTGTTTTGTTTTTTTCGTCAAGAAAAAAACGACACTCTTAAACCTTCTCCACCACAAAATAGTGGAAAAGTTTACAAAGACAGGAGTTTCAAACTCTAACAAATGCATATTATTTTCTAACTGTCATGCCTATACGTTATACGTTCTTGTGTCATAAAAGAAAATAATTATATACAAAAGTAACGATCGACTACTTGTTAAAAGTGTATTTCAAGTTTTATAGATTTCGCTATGGGATACCGCTGCTACGAAATTACTCTTCAATGGATCAATGGATGATAAAAATAGAATTCGAAATCTATTCGGTCATTGAACAGAATAATTTTTACTATTGTATGAAGACATTATTGAATGAAATTATAAAGTTCTCATTGACGTTTTGGAACAGAACATTACTCAGGGATCAATTTATTAAAAGACATTATAGATTATATCATTATGGTACATCAAGACTATTGGTACATTGTCATATTCAAGACTATTTGAATATCAACACATTCAGCACTGGAATTCATTCTCCACTTTTAGACCTGTAATGGAACATATAATATTTTTTGGATCCTCTTAAATTTTAACTTTGTAACTTTAAAGAAAAATAAATTGTTTGTTGAATTTTAATAAATGTGTGGTTTTGCTTCTTTCTTTACTTACTCTAAGACTATAGAGTCATAACTGGACATTTCAATGTGATAATTGGATATGTATACTTGTATGCATGCATGTATGTACTGAAAAAGTCATTTGTAAATTCGATTGCATCTATTCTCTACAATACTATTTGGGATGTTTTAATTGGTGAATGTGAATGACTTTAAACAAAATCAAAAAAGCAACATTGAACTATGCATGTATCATGGCCTCCAAGACATAAAGTAGGTTCACATTTTTTTTACATCTGTTGTGCAATAAGGTTCTTGCTTATGAACTTGCCACTTGTGGCTTGCAAAGGTATATATTTCATAATGCACGCTGATTTCATCTCGTACTTTCTAAATGTATCTCTCAGATCTAACCTAAAGGCTCCCAAAGAGGAGTAGGGAACAAGAGCTGTTTGCATATTTCCTGCAATTAAACTATGTAATAGAAAGAAGAGAAACAACAAGAATAGAAATATAGTGTTTGATCATGTAATATAGAGTTCATATGGTATAATATACTTTTAACATATCTCCTTATCTATCAAATTACTTCGGCGCAATTAACATCTTATTTCAGCAAATTTTGGATACAGTATATTGTAGTTCGTGAATGCAAACTACTATCTTTAGTTTGAGTATACATATTAATTAAATAATGACATATTATATACAATATTAATTTAGCATAGTCTATACAATATTTACATGGTGTGTCCACTGTTGTCCACATGTATGGTGCTTATTACGATGTCAATTAATTGCTAAAATTACCTTTTCCTTCATGATTAAAAAAGACTAAATATGTAGTTTTTTTCAACCAAAATCCAGTTTGTAGTAGGGCAAAGACATATTTCCCTTTAAAAGTAACTTTTACAGTCAATTTCCTTTACTTTCGTTTCAAACATTACATGGAGATTTTTGTTTTGTATTTTCTTAACTCCAGAAATACGGTAAGAACAAACATTTATTCAACTCCCATTGCGTGACTTATGACGGGATTTGAATAAATGTTTTGTTTTTTTTTACGAATTCTGTACTTACCTAACGGTATCAGGACATCTTCCCCCTGGATATTCCCCCTCCAGACACCCCGACATTTCCACCAAAACATTTTCCCTGGACTCCCCCCCCCATCTAAAAGAACTACCCCCTTAGTCATTCTCCCCCCCCCCTTCAGCTTTATACTACTTTAATTATATATAGTAACATTTAGCTTTAATGTATACTTGCATCCCGAATCACCATTAGTTCACAGGTATGAATGTTGTCACTTGAAATAAATGCATTATCAAATGTAAAATATCTACTTTCCTGACCCCCCCTCTCTCTCTCTCTCTCTCTCTCTCTCTCTCTCTCTCTCTCTCTCTCTCTCTCTCACACACACACACACACACACACACATGGATCTTAAGGGTAGCTTGACATCATATTTGAGCTGTGAACAAATTCATACCCATTTTTAAGCAATGTTAGTTATAACAAAAATGGACCTTGTCTATGTGTCAATCAATTGCTAGTACTTTTACTTAATGCAGACAGGAGATTTCTTTAAAGTATGTAAAAGAGGCTTGAGTCTAACCTTTACGTATGGCGCATATCTGGTATATTTAAGATAAACAACATATGGATTAGCCATCATTCAATTAATTGTAGTTGTTTCAGTAGAGTGCTCAGGCCAGATGTTGACATAAGCTGATTATGATTTAACAAACAAAGAAGAAGTACAAAGATAGTCGTCGACTTCGAGAATCGTGACATCCTACAATACTTAAAAGCATTTGCTTACTACGTTAACTTCTATAACATGAAATAAATAACTATATAACTGTTGCACTAAAATGAATCCCTCATTGAACATAATTCATTTAAATATCAGGAAGCAGAAAACGTATTTCTATCAAACGGCGACCGCTGGTCTTATGACTTTCTCCATATGCAAGTAATAGAAAAAATTCAATGCTTTCGAAAGAAAAGATCTCATCAGAGCCAAACAATTCGCTGCATGAAGTAATGAGAAATAAATATAACCACTATTCCATTATTTTAGTAGAAGTTTATGTTAGAAATAAAGAAGTTAATTACTGAATACATTACATCCGGGAAATGAAAGATATAATTGAGAGTTTTTTTGTTTTGATGTCCCTTGATGCTACTGTATCTAACGACAGCTGTGACATCGACTTTATGCATCAAAATATTTTTTTCTTAACGGACATAGGACCTTTTGATATATCTTTAAAAACTCCACCACTTTTTGATTTCGAAGTAATAATTCAATAACTTTTCAAAAACTGGCATACGATTGTATTAATGGCGTGTATTTGGATAAAAAGAATTATTGCATGTAATTGGATAATTGGTATACCAAAATTAACGTCATATCATTGGTTAATTGGTTATGCCAAATTAAAGGCATGTAAATGGGTAATGGGTTATACCAAAGTTAACAACATGGTAGTTGATAATTGGTTATGTAATAATTAACGGCATGCAATTGGATAATTTACATTATTTATTTTTAAAAATACATTAATTTTTTTTTAAATATTTACCTTTTACATTAAGGAAATATAGTTCCTTTTTTAATGCCTTTAAGAATAGCAATTTACGGATAAATGGCGTTAAGTTTTTTATTTGATTATTTTTAGTGCAAAAAGAAGAATTTTCGATAGCTGATGGTCTTTCGACTATTTTCCCATGATACGTTTTGTTTAATTTTCCCTACTGCTTTTCCTGGTATTTCTTAATTATGCTTTTCTTTGTCAAACATTGTATTGATAAAATCAACAAGCCAATTCTGTTTTGCGTACACTTTTTTCTCTCTTGTAAGATCTCTCCAAGCAACTTCTGTTATTTCCTACTTTATCGTCCGCGTCGAAGTACTATTTGATCTTTTTAAATTGCCTTGCCAACCGCAATCCGTTTAAATTCTCAAAGTACATTAATATTATTGTTTACTTGGAGCTTCTGTCAAATCCCCTCCCATGTTTGCTTCTTTAGTTCTTATTTAATGCAGTACAAGTTTACCATAATGCTTTTAAAAAAAACTGTTTAGCATTAATGATGTTTTCTACCCTATTTGCCAGATATGTTTTCCACGCAATCCGCTTTCTCAGTCTAAAAGAGTGCTTTATGTCTTTTTCGTGCATTGTGCTAGAAGTCGTATGAATCTACAAAGAATGAACGATATATGTGCCGCTTCAAGGTCTATAGTAGTAGGAATTCTACATGCTTTTCTGGTGCTTAGAAGCACTCAGTCCTTAATGTGGTCACAAAAGATTACCTTGAAAATGATTAGCAAACACTGAACGCAATCTATACCACGCCCTTTATGCACTAAGAGGCATTCAAATATTGAGTCAATCAATCGATGTAAGGAAAACTTGTTACATAAACCATGCTCTCTTTAATGTCATGAACGAACGTTAATCAATTTCCTTAATAAAGCTCTACTTCGCATAAGACCAGCCTTCTTTACATTTTATTGCACTTAGTTACATGTGTGTGTCTGTGTGTATGTGTGTGTGATTTAGATTTTTAACGTAGCTTTAAAAAAGCCTTTCAATGATATCGCTACTATGTCTGCATTGTGACAGTTTATAGTGATGTAGCATGATGTCCCACTCAGTCACATTATCTTGACACCAGGCCGACCAGTCCTAACACTAACCTCTTCATGCTGAGCGCCAAGCGAGGCGGCTGTTAGTACCATTTTTGTAACTTTGGTATAACTACGCCGAGGATCGAACCCACGACCTCCCGCATCCGATGCAGACGCACTAACCACTAGGCCACCGGGGCGGTCTCTAATAATATGAAACACGAATAGTTCTTATCATCGGATCCTGCTTTGTATGTCATGGCGTGAAGAATTAATATTAAACTCAGAAAGGCTTATTCAGTCAAACAAGGAAACGGCTAGTAGCATTATTAGAAGTTTTTGGTATGACTCGGTAGGAGTTTGAAATCGCAACCTCCCGGATCCGAGTCGGACGTTCTAACCACATAGGCCACCGGAGCGACGCACTTAGTTCCATAAAAGAAATCACTATCATAGAAACAACTTACGCATATTATTTTATTTCAAAGATGGTCAATGCGATAATGCCAATCAATCAATCAGAGGAGTGATCAATGCACCAATATTAATCAATCAATGGAGGTGAGAAAGGCATGTTAAGATTTATTAGATCCTTTGAAGAAGAAAACAGAATTCATTGTAGTTTGGTGAATTTGTTGTTGTTGTTGTTGTTGTTGGGCTTAACGCCATTTTTCAGCACAAGATAGGCTATTCATGGCGGCCAGTATTAATGGTGGAGGAAGAAACCAGGAAATCACCGGAAAGAACCACCGACCCACGAGAAGCTACTGGCAAGCTTTCTCACATATCTACATTAGCCGAATCCTAGACTCGAACACACGCAGACAGAGGTGAGATGGCAGTGATCCGTAACGGACAGCGCTTTAGACCACTCGGCCACTCGGGGCCCCATTGGTGAATTTGAGTATTCTTTCAGTATAGCATCGTTAGGGGTGTGTCTAAACCATGCTATCTGATTTTCTTGCTTTATCAAAGGTGCTGAATTTATTTCGAAAAAGAATTGAACGAAAGACACTATGGTGCTTAAGGAAGTAGATGACAATTTGTGCTGGATAGATAGCATTTTCCGCAAGGACAAAGCTTAAAGTTTGCTCTTATTTTGCTATAGGAAATAAAGCAAGGTCAATCGTCGAAAACTTGACTCCATGTCTACGAAAGAATTAACAATTTTGATTGTTGTTATCGTTTTGGTTTAACGTCATTTTTCAACACATGATAGGTTGTACATGGAAGACAGTATATCCGGTAGAGGAAGAAGTCGGAAAAATCCCGGGAAGAACTACCGACCCAATGGAATCTACTGGCAAGATTTCTCACATACCCAGAATTGTGTCCATAGTGATGTCAAGACCTATCTCGATGAGCAAAAGGCAGGAACTTTGGAGAATCGTGCTCGAACGGCTAATAACTTTTCCTTGCTTGACAGTTTTTATTTGTCAATAAGTCTTATTCAGAGTTTTTTTTTTCTTCAAACAACTAGCTCAGCCTCATAGAAATTCTTCCAAATCTCAGTTTCGCACAACTTTTAGGAATCTTATTAAACAAACTTCTGATAAGATTTATCAGAGACCCTTATCTCTTAAAACGTGCACCTATTGTAAGAAGAAAGGGCAAGTTATTTCTCATTTCTACAGATTGAAAAATATGCAACAGAATAAAGATAGACCTATTTCCAAAACTCTCATTTCTAAGAGGTCACATATTTCAAGGTGCCAAACGAGCTCCAGACAAATTTTATGGAACATTATGAACCATTCATATTGAAAGGTTCTAGATCACTTAATGGTGCTTCTGCCAAACTTGTCTCTCTTTTTATGGGACACATGTGCTTCTCATAATCTTTTATTATCAGGTAATTTGCGTTTGTCTAAGAATTCTACCTCTAATGAACATGTTCTTATTCAGTGAGTAAAGGATGCCTTTCTTAAATTTTCTCTCAATTGTGTCAATTTGGCATCAAACCTGTTTTCAGATCACGTAACAATTGGAACAGAGACTTCTTTACTTATTGTGCATATTCTTTGATGGCTAGGCAACAACCTAACTGAAGATGAGGTTGTGGTTAATCCACTTGTAACTAACAAACGTTGTCTGGATCAAAATAAAGATCCTGTTGAGAAGAAATCCCTGGTTTGTATCCTGTTTGTGAAGTTACCAGAGCTATGCCAAAAATAGCTCTTGAGAAATCAGGAAAGCATTTCTTTAGCTGACATGTTTGTAGGTCAGTCTTTTGATGAGTTCACTTTTCGCCTAGAACTGTTCAATCAATGTATATTTTAACGAATTTAAAGGCCTCCAACAATGTAATAGAAAAATTCAACAAATAATATATTTATTTGAAGTATTGCCGCCATCCACAATTAGCTTTTTACATTAAAATCTTCATAATTGTTTTATATTTCCCGTGACTTTATTATGATGCTAACCTACCTTAATTTGAGTGTGTTTGTATGTTTTTGGATGTTTAACATAGCTTTAATAAAACTTTCAGTCATCGCTACGATGTCGGCAGTGTGGCAGTTTATAGCAATGTCTAGCACCGGGGTATCTTGCCGCAAACATGTAGCATCATGTCCCATCCAGGTACATTATCGTGACATCAGGTCGACCAGTCCTAACACTAACGTCTTAATGCTGAGCGCCAAGCGAGGCAGCTGCTAGTAACATTTTTATAAGTTTTAATATGACTCGGCCGGGGTATAAACCCACGACCTCCTGCAAACGAAGCGTGCGCTGTAGCCACTTAAGCCACCGGAGTGGTAGCTCTTAATTTAAATTGAAATCTCTAAATTTGTTTTTATTGACTGTTTGTTTTAGCTATCTGTACTAAAACTCAATTGATGATTGTAAACTTCAAAAGGAATTTAATTTTTTTAAATATAAGAACAAACATAATTCAGGTCCTATTGTCAAAGAAATTATATTAGAATTCATATTAGGTTTTTATTTTGGATATTCGAGATAAATATTATCGCAGCTTTGTGAGTGAACATGTACAGGTGAAACAAAATTATTAGAATTAGACAATTGGGAAAAATAACTCATTATCAATCAGCAAAATAATTTCGTATGACATTTGTTCTGTTAAGCAAACTCTAGTACACAGATCGCTCCGGTGTCCTAGTGGTTAGAGCGTCCACTTCGGATGGATGCGGTTCCAACCCCGGCTGAGTCATACCAGAGCATTAAGAAGTTAGTGGTAGGACTGTTCGGCTTGGTGTCAAGATAATGTGACTGGTTGGAACATGATGCTACATGTCTGCGACATGATGTCCCGTCCCAGTGCTAACGATAAGATGTTAAAACTGCGTTAAACATCCAAGTTTTTCTCTCTCTCTCTCTCTCTCTCTCTCTCTCTCTCTCTCTCTCTCTCTCTCTCTCTCTCTCTCTCTCTCTCTCTCTCTCTCTCTCTCTCTCTCTCTCTCTCTCTCTCTCTCTCTCTCGTACACAAGGCTTCATTTCGTAATCTTGAATCTACGTGAGAAAGGGTAATAAGAATATTATTGACCTAATGTGGCTTCTGAAGGCGTGTTTAATATGAATACGTTATCTAATGGTTGATTTAATCCCGTACTTAAACTCATCTCCAGTCTGCGACTAAACTATGACTAACAAGATGATAAAACCAATATAATAAGAACACACTATTTACTGTCTTTTTTCTCTCAAAATGTTACCCATAATCTGGCAGGAAAGTTATTGCAGAACAATGAAGAAATCCAACAGAGGTTGATCGGTGAACAAAAAAATGCTCCGAAAACAAATATTCATAATCCAAATAATTTCTGATTTTACGGTCAGACTGTACATTGACCATTGATACTGCAATGGTTCGGTCATTTACGTCAGGTTGTGAAAAAATTAGGAAACTGATATAGGAATACACATAAACTTTGATGTGTTATGCATATTTAATTTGCATTGTTTGTTGGGTTTTTTTATTCATTATATGCTGTGGGGTAAGGTGGGATAATGTTAAATTGTGTCTTGTAGCTAGCATTGTCCAAAATCAAATTCATCGTTGGCCTGACCAAAATCAATGATTTTGTTTTCTTGTTCTCTAAACTAATGAATAGCTAATATTTTCTGTATGAAAGTGGGTTTTATATTTGGATAATTATCAATAGAAGTAAACCTATTTATATTGGTCTGAGTCAATGAAATTGTGTTCACTATAATCTTTATTTTAACTTCATTAACCCTTATTTTGATTCTTCTGTAAATGAACTTCCTGGCTCTTCTTTTGTGTCTTAGTTATTGTCAAATAATCTTGTTAATCTAGAAATTATTCATTTTTGCTGTAAGACGTTCAGATAGAATCATTTGTTGTGTTTGGTGTTTGGTGAGCTGAAATTATTTAATTCATATATTCTTCTCTTGAAATACAAAGTGCTCTATAATGCTCTTGTAAAGAGACATTAACTTGGAATTAGAGTGAATTCAAACAAGGAAACAGCGATTATATTACTGTAATTCAATAAAAAGACTGTTGGCACATCGTTACAGTTTAAGCTTTTGGTATATAAGAACATTAGAGACTTCCAGTCCATATAATAACATCAACACCTTCAGCTTTGGAAATATTTTGGAATGCCACTAAAATTGTTCATACCTTTATTCCTTAGAACTTGTTTTAGTAATTCTATGATTATTTCTGATATAATTCGCAATACCGTAAGTTCTGTTTTTACATTATCCATTTCTTTTGCCCGAAAAAAAAAATTGTGTTGACTTATACAAAGCCTGTTGCTTCTGACTCTTTTCAATTACTTATTTTAAGACCATAGATTCGTATTCGATGTGTTTGGTGATTCAAATGTGGTGGTGTGTACCACAAATGGACTCAAGTCACAATTATATTTTTGTTGTCTCTAAATTTGTTTCTTAGTACTGAGCATTCAACTATATTTCGCATTTTTGAGAGGCTGGATTTGACTTCCAGATCAGACTCAGTGCCTCATTACGCACTATACATAGTCTCCAATATACACACAGACAACTGCACCGTAATGCTCAAATTCTAAAGAATAAGAAATGATCTTTAACTCAGTACCAAGAATGCTTAAATCTAGCTGTTGTATCAAAATGAGAGGAAAAAGTTCTCTAAAATAGGCTTTGTAATGGACATATTTTGGAATGCCACTAAAATTTGTAATTTGTAATGGCAGCAAACGTTGAGAATGTGCCGATTATAA